GATAAAAAGAGAGAGTCTGTTCTTTACTTAAAAGAGTTTAATGTTTTTTTTTTTTTTTGTGGGCTTGGTGGAGACTAAAATCTCTTTCATAGATAGAATAGCATTTCAAAAAATGATGGGAGTGGATTGGGATTACTTTCTACATCCATCTGAAAGGTTGTCAGGGGGTATTATGGTGATGTGGAGATTTGATCTTGCTTCTTTCTCTATTGTGAAGTCTTCTAATCAATGTGTAATTGGAGACTTGGAAATGTTTAACAAAGGGACTTGGATGATTTCTACTATTGATGGTAGTAAGGAGGTTCTTAAGAGAAGGGACTTGTGGGTATGTCTTCAAGAGGTTTCTCATAGAAAAGTTCCTTCTATGATTGGTGGTGACTTTAATTATATTTTGGCTCAAGAGGACAAAAGAGGAGGTAGGAAATTTGTTTTTTCTCAAGGTTCTAAAGATATGATAAACTTTATGAATCATAATGATTTTCATGAAATTGGAGTTGTTGGACCAAGGTTCACTTGGTACAATAATAAAAGTAGTGGAGGAAGGATCTTGGAATGGTTGGATAGATGCTTGCTTAATTCGTTTGCTTTGAAGGAGATTCAAGTGGCGGTTGAGAGGCACATTGCTAGGGTGTCTTCAGATCATTTCCTAGTCATTTTAAATGTTTTTTTATTCTACTTTTAAGAAAAAGAGTTTTATGAAGTTTGAAGATATTTGGGTTTCTTTTTATGCCTCTTTGTGTATTATTTCAAAAATATGGAAAAAGTCCTATGAGGGAGATGATATGCAAATTTTAAATAAGAAATGTAAAAGAACATTAAAAGAATTGTTCTTTTGGAGTAAAGAAAAACTGAAGAACTTTTTCATTCTCAAAGATGGCCTGAAAAAGGAGGTGTTGCAACTACAAGAAGAGGAGGCTAACAAAGGAGGTCTGTCTGATGAAAAGTTTAGGCTCTTGAGAGCTAAGGTGGGTGAACTTAATGTTTACCCAGTTAGGTTGAATACTTGGTGGAAACAAAGGGCTAAGGTAAGGTGGATTGAGGAAGGAGATTCTAACTCAAAATATTTCCATACTTTTACAAATGCTAGAAGGAATGATAACTGGATTAACCATGTCAAAGGAATGGATGGAATAATGGTTGAGAATCTGAAAGAAATATAAGAGGATTTTTTAAACTATTTCAATGAGAAATGGAGGGAAAGGAATTGTTCTTTGATTAAGTGGCCTTCTCCTTGTAAAGTATTGATGATAGAAATAAGTTGAATGCTGAAATCAACACTTCAAAAATTCTAGATATTATCTGGAACTTGGCAGAGAATAAAGATCCTGTTGTGATGGAATACCTTTTTCCTTCTTCAAAACTTATTGGAATATCATTGGTGAAGATGTATGTAAATCTATCAATAAATTTCTCTCTTCGGGGTTTCTTTGTAATGAATGTAAAGAGACTTTGGTTATTTTGATTCCTAAGGTCAAAGACCTAGTTTCTCCAGCAGGATACAGACCTATTAGCCTTTGTACCTCTATTTATAAGATTACAGCTAAAGTCTTATTAAATAGATTGCAATTGGTAGTACATAAGGTTATATTAGAGGAACAGGTTGCTTTTGTGAAAGGAAGGTCAATATCGGATCACCTCCTCTTGGCTCAAGAAGTTTGTAACAAAATTAGATGTTCAAATGTAAAGAATGGTCTATTGGCAATCAAGATTGATATGGAACAGGCATATAACAGTATGTGTTGGGAAACTTTGAGACAAATGTTGAAGACTTTGGGTTTTCCTTCTAAATTTATAAATTTGATAATGGAATGTGTGAGGGATCCAATGTTCTCCATTATGATTAATGTAAGAAACTTAAAGTGGATTAAGGGAAGATGTGGTTTTTGGCAAGGATGCCCACTTTCTCCCTTATTATTTATTTTGTGCTCTCGATTACTTTCTAACTCATCTTTAAATGAAGGCATGGATGTTGGTATCAAATTATCACCAAATGTACAAAAAAATTTACATCTCTTGTATGTAGATGATATTCTACTTTTTTCATATGCTAAGTTGAAAAATATCAAAATAGTGAAGAAGTTTATCTTTGATTATTGCAAGTGGACTAGACAAATGGTAAAATTTCAAAAGTCGTTAATGTTGATGGGAAAAAAATATAGGGAGTACAAAGAAGAAACAAATCTCAAAGTTGTTAAACATTAAGGTGGTTGAGGAAATAGATTATTTGGGAATTAAGGATTCTTTAAGAAGGATGTCGAAATCTTATTTTCAACATTTTTTGGATAAAGCCACCAAAAGGCTTAATGCTTGGGGAAATAGATTCAACTCGCTTGCAGGAAGGATAATCTTGATGAAAATAGTTTTTCTTGCTCTCCATTTATTTCTATCTTCACATTCATTGGTTCCCTTGAGTATTTTTAAAGAGTTTGATAAGATTTGTAGAAATTATATTTGGAATAAGCATGATGGATCTCACGGGCTTCATTTTGTGGCTTGGAATGTCTTGTGTAAACCAAAGGAGCATGGAGGATTGGGTCTTTATTTAGCTGTGACTAGAGTGGGGATGTTAAGAGAAATATTTGCTTGGAATCTATTAGACAATCCGAATTCTTTACTTAATTAGAACATTTTGGCTAAGTATGGGAAATGCTAGTGGGAATGTGACGGGAAGAAGAGTTCTTTGCCTACATGGAGGATTGTAATTGATTGGTGGAATTCTCTTAAAGGGGTCTTAAGGTGGATTATTTCTTCAGGTTCTTTGATTGATATTCGGAAGGATATGTGGATCCTTGATAAAAGCATAGAGAAATGGCCTACGCTTGTAGCTAATTAGGAGGAACACAAAGTTACTCTAGATTCTATCATTGTTAATAGAGCTTGGAAATCCCCTAAACTAAATTAGTTCTTTGGAGAAGAACTTGTAAACTTGATCAGCAAAATTGATATACTTCATAACTTGGAGGAAGATAGGATGTACCTAAAGTTTAACTTGTCTGGCAAATTCATTTCAGCATTTGTTTCAGATTTCTGGAATATTGAAGATATGCTAGAAGTATATGATCCATGGTTCTACAAGCCTAAACTCAATCCTCGGGTTAAAGTGTTTATTTGGCATTTATGCAAGAATGTGATTCCCACAGTAGATTTTTTGTTTTATTGAAGAGTTACTGAATCTAATCTTTGTCCAAGAGGCTGCCTTAAAGTGGAAAACATTGATCATTATATAGCTACATGTTTGAAACTGCTGCAGGTTATAAGTTTGTTGAATGCATGGGGATTTATGGTGCTATTTTTAAGTTCTTTCTCAGACTGTATGAAAAACCTAAAAATGATTTCGGTTAGGAATCCATTAATTGCTAAGATGTATTTAACGTTGATGCTATTTTCATGGAACAATAGAAACAAAGTGAAGCATGGTGATGTGGAAGAAAGTGTTGTTGTTTTAGTGTCCAAAGTTATTAGTTTTATGGCTATTTCACATAAAGACAAAATCATTTAGGGTAACTAGGGTACTAATTAGTCCTATGAACTGTCTAATTCTTGGCACCCTCCTTCTCCCAAATGGTTTAAAATAAATATTGATGGATCTCTATATAAATCAAATAAAGATGGAATTTGTGGAGTGGTTAGAGATTATAAAGGCAAATTTTTATTGGCCTTTGGTTGTGGTTATGTTCATTGAGATAATGCACATTTGGAGCTATTGGCTTTCAAATCACTGAGAAATGTTATTGAAGAGTGGATGTTTGAGGTAAATGGTATCATCATTGAAGGGGATAATTGGAATGTCATCAACTTTCTCCATAAATTGTATAGTATACAGGAGAAGAGGATGGAAGGACATTTAGATGAAGAACTATTATTCATGAAGATATTCAATAATGTGTTATTTAATTTTGTTAATCATCATTGTAATAAGTTAGCTAACTATTGTGCTAACTTAGCTTGTAAGTATAACTTTAGTTGGGATATTTTTAGTTAGAATAATATTACTCGTTCCTTTGTTGCTCTGAGTGTGATAGGTTTCCTTTTGGTTGAGTAGTTTGTATCTAAGTATTTCTTTCTTATTAATGCATTTTGAATTTCTTCTCAAAAAAAAAAAAAAAAAAAAAAAAAAAAACTCAAAGTCTATTTACTCCTTGTAAGATATAATATTTAATAACAATATTGGAACCCTAAAACCTAACTTATTTCTAAAAGTGACCTTTTGGACACCCTTAACATAGCGGGTAGGATGACCCCGAACCTTCTTAAATTTGTTAAGTTAACTTTAACTTCAAAGAATATTAACCTAAGTATTAAAATGGATTAAACTACTTAATTAACTAAAATTAGCCACAATTCATTAATACTTAAACCTTAACTAAACTTCCCCTTTTGACTTTCAACCAAGCCAAGCACAAAGTAACTTGAACTAACTACCCGATATAGGACCTATCCCAAGCCACACAGCCTATTACACACATATAGAATTATTTTCTAGGGCACCACTTCTAGCTCTAGGTGAGGCTAGTGTTTTACTTTTTGCTTCTATGATCGCTCTAGCATGTGGCACCTATGTTGTTTATTTTGATTTGCTATAAGTGTTTATTTTATTATTATACTTTCCTTATATGTGATGTGATTGATTGTGGATTAGATCTAGCCCTAGGCTAGGGATGATTTATACTAATTCAATCTTATGTAGGTGGCCATTCTAATATAGCACTAAAATGAAAGGGAGCAAAAATTATTTAGCTTTTAAAACTAACAATGGTTTTTTGTTGATGCTTCAGAAATTGTTAAGCCCCCCTTCAAATTAAAAGAGTGTGGTCAAGTGTGTTTACTTTTCTACATATATATAAACTATGTGGGATGTTACATATTAACTGCTTGGGATTTTCTATTAGGATAACCTTGCAGGTTGAGTTTGAGTCTATATTTCTCTTTTTAAAATAATGTAATTTGTAATTAATATTGAGTTGAGAAAGCTTTTAAAAGTATGGAATTTCAAACACTAGGTATCCAAAGTGAAAAATAAAGGCACTTCATAGGAAATTATTTATTCATTTGGGTACCCTTTTAAAGGACAAACCATACAAAGACCGAAGGAAGATGATCTAAAGACATGAAGATGAAGACTTGAAGAAGAAATGCCTTAATTTTAAGACTTCCACCATTCTATAGGATTAGAATCCAGGTTGTCATTGGCGCTTGACCACTATTACTTTTTTACAAACTCTAGGTTGTACTTATATAACACTTTCCATGGACTTTCTTTTATACTCTGTCTAGTTTTATTTATATTGATGTGTTTACTGTTATTTGCACCATAAAAATTGCTAGCTTTTTTTTAGATTTTTTTCTTGCATATGTGTGGCTTGATCTCGCTAGGATGTTTAGGGATTTTCTACTTGTAACTAATATCTAAAATTTAAAAATTAAATAACATAGAAACTTAATGATTTAGGAAATATCAAAAATAGTCTGGGGTCACATGTATATTAATGCATTCTTCTCTCTCCTTCTTTAAGACACTTCCCCGCCTGTGGGTATAGGCCGGATAATCTGACTTATGAGGATGAGGTGCTGGATCTTGGGAAGTCTAGTCTTTTTAAAAAACTATTTTCTAAACCTTTTTTTTTTAAATTTCAAGCATTCATGAGTTGAATCCTTTTAACAGCATATATTGCATTAGTAACCAATTAATTAAAATTTAATTCTATTTGCTCTAGGAGCATTCACCCTTTATAAGTCCAATGCCAATTAGGAAACTCTATAGAAGTTGGCCTTACTTCCAAAAACTCAGCCTCCTACACATCTTTCATAAAGACTATACATCATGGAATTTATTCTCTAAACTAAACTGAAAGATAATTTGAATTATTATCTTGAAATAAAAATTGAGAATTCATAAGGGACAATATATATCTTATCACATATGCTGGGATATAGAAAGGTATAACCCAACATATGATAATAAGATGCAAAGGCCACCTATGACTTAAAAAGATTCAAATTTTTATTATATATGCTAGGTACAAAAGGATGTTATAGTATAACATATAACAATTATAATTAAAATAAATTTAAGGATTTTGGACATGAGTTGAGATTTCAAAATTGAGGGATTTTCTTTGAACTTTGAAACTAAGAAATGTTGAATTTCATTCAACCTGAGGTTTACAAATTTGATAGGAAAAATCTTAAACCAACTAGCCTGACACTCCTCTCACCCCACCAATTGATGATTGAAATTAATAGGAAATGGGGCCAACATCTAGAGCAGATCCTAATTGGCTCTTTAACTTATGATGGGTAATTTGATGATTAAAATTAAAAATACAATAAAAATTTTAGATATTTTAATTTTGTTATGATGCAATGAATGCTAGTTGGCTCAATAAATACTTAAATCAGAATAAAGAAATTTTAAAATTATATTTAAACAATAAGTTTTCCCTAAGGAATATATAACTTGCTCTTGACAGGCCTATACTCTAAAAAGTCAGGTGGAATGCTAGAACCCGCAAGCAGGGAGGTGCCTAACAAGAAAGAGAAGATTCAAAATGAATGCATGTGAACTCTTAGTGATCTGAGCTTACTTCTTAAAGTAGTTAGATTTTCTATATTATCATAAAAATTTTAATTAAATTAAAGTAGAATATTTTTTTTCATACCCTCACGAGCCTCTGATTATTCCAGGTGAAAACAAAATATGACATGTAAGAAATAAAGCTAGAAAAACATATCATTTCTACTACAAAATCAAATTAAATAATTTAATTAATTAAATTAAATACTTAAATTTAATGTCCATGTGGCAAGTCCCACTTAACATTATAACCCAAGGTCTACAAGAAAATTAAACTAGTTAGGTAGCACTAATAACAAGCTCAAATTTCTTACCTAAGACATAAGTGACTTTTAGAATGGGATTCTTCTCATTCTTCAATTCTTCATTCTTCTCTGGACTCCTTGGATCTGTTAGGTCTGGATATCCAAATGAAAGAAACTCCACCTTAAATGGCATGTTTTTTTTTTTTCTTTTGATTCTCAAAGTATCCTAATTTGGATATCCAAATAAAGAGGGACTCTCCCCTAGGGGATGTTACCCTTCTCTTTGAATCCCATATTGGATATTCAAAATACCATCTCAAAACACTTTTACATCACTTGTACAACTCAAATACATTTAAATTTCATTGAATGAAAATTAAAATCTAGACTCAAATAACCTATAGGGTTATCCTACATAATCAACATTTAAATAATCCCAAGTAATTATATATGAAAATTAAAGTAGTCAAACCAGCCACACTTGACCAAGCTCTTTTAACTTTAAAAGGGGACTTGGCATTTTGTGCAGTGCCTTCATAAAATATTATTAATTGAAAGTTTAATTTATTTTATTTTCCCCCTTTAATTTTATGCCCTATTTGAGCATATCCATCTGCATAAGATTACATTAGAATTTAAATCATCTCTAACCTAAGGGTAAATCTAACACCCATCACATCAATACACATATTGTAAAAATAAAAAAAATAATCACATCAATTTATACTAGCAACTAGTATGTAGTGAAAACTCGAAAAGCCTAACACACAATAGAAAAGTAAACACCAACTTAGTCTAAGACTAGAGTTACTTTTCATAGAAAACTTTCTAAAGTGTGTGAGGTGGGCTTTGTGGTTTGGATACGTCATATATAAGATAATTAGTTTACGTTGTTTGATATTCTGGTTGGTTGAAAGACTTAAGGGAAAATTTAATTAAAGTTTAAGTATTAATGATTTAAAACTAAATTTAACTATATTTTAAAGGTTAAATAGCTACCACCTTTGTTGCTCACTGGGGCTGTGAAGTTCATCTTCCTTGGGGCTAAGTTAATAGCCTCGTAGGCCCGAGTTACCTAGTGGTAATCGATATAATTATATGAATTAAATTGATAAAGGTTTGAAGGTTGATGAATATAATTAGAATTGATTTAGTTGATATATTTTAAGGTTATATTAAGGTTTTTTAGATTTTTAGATCAATTATTAAATTTTTAGAATTATTTAAATTATTTAAATGCATTAATTAAAGGGTTCATAATATAACTTTTGCATAAAGATAATTATAGAAAGTTAATATTTTTCTTAATTAAATTCCCTAAGATGAGTAATTAGACTATAAGTTTATTGGAATTATATTGTTTTTACATTTAATTATAAATGTTTGAAGTTTTAACTAAAAGTTGACCAAAAAGTTACTTTCCAATTTTAAATTATTTTTAGTGGTTCAACTTTTTATTAATAAATATTAAACCCCAAATAAGGTCCAATGCATTTGAGTTTGCTCAATTTGAAAACTTTTTAAATTCATTATGGTTTTTAAAAGTTTGGGTATTTATTTAAATTATTTAATTGATTTAATAAAATGATTTAATGATTTAAATTCCAATGAACTCCAAACTTCTTGAAATCGCCTCGAAAGATTAGAAATATTCTAAGGAGGTACTCTCAAGTGTTTGAGAATTTTTTAGAAATTTTAAATATTTTTAATTAATTAAATTAATTAAATATTAGATTTTAATTAAATTTAAATTAAGATTGAATTTAAAGTCTAGTCATGGGGCTTTTATTTTTCTTGGATTAATGGTTAATTTTAGATATTATATGTAATTCTTGGATTTAAATTTTATTTATTATAATTTTTAAAAGTTTAAAATTTAATTAAGGGTTCAATTTTAAGTTAATTAATTAAGTGGCTAAATAGTTTTGAAAACAACTAAGAAATTTCCCTTAGGATAAGGATGTCATTAAGTTAAAGTGTCAAAAGTTTCATTCTTAATTGGCATGAATTTTAATTTCTAAAATTAATCTATATTTTTAAAGATATGTCTTTAATTTTGTCCTTAAATGCCTCTAGGTTGGGTAGATTTAAATCAATATCTCTTTAACCCTTAGTCAAACATTAATAAAATATAATCACACCATTCAAATCCTAGATCTAGAAGAGCATAAAACTAGGTGTAGGTATACATCATATACATGCAAGAATTAAAGGTAATTAATATAGATAATATTTTGATTAGTGAATAGTTATATAGATAATATAACTATTCACTAATCCTTCCACATGAAATTTGTTTATATAGGCTCAAGCTATATTTAAAGTTCCAAGATTACCCTCAAGGCTAAAAAAATTTAACATATATAATTTCAAATTTAATTTTTATATTAGAAAATACCTCAATTTTATAATTTTAAAAAATTAAAGGTAATATCAAAACAAATTTTGTAAATACCTAAATAATATGAAAATAATTTAAAATGAAATTTTATGATTCTTGAAAATATTTAAGTAAAACATTATTAAATATTTAAATATTTAAAATTATTTAAATTATGTCAAATACCATAAATTAATTTTAAATTAAAATTAAAATATCTAAAAATAATTTCTATTTATTTTAAAAATAATTTAAAATAAACTTTTATTTTTAAAATATTTAATTTAATATTCAATTAAATATTAATTAAATATTAAAAATAATTAATAATTAGAATTATTTATAATAAATTTTGTTTTTAATTTTGTATATTTTAAATTTAAATAAATAAAATTTTAAAAAGAATTAATATATTATATTAAATTTTTTAAATTTAATTTGAATTTGTTATGAATTTTAAAAGTTTTCAAGTATTTAAATATATTTAAAATAATTTAAAAATAATTAATATTCAAAATAATTTTTAAGATAAATTTAATTAAATTGAAGATTTTAAAAAATTTAAATTTATTTTAATTTTTATTAGTTTTCAAAATTTTTTTGAATTTAATTTTAAAAATATTTATACATAATTTATATTAAAATATTTTAAAATTATATAAAAATTTAATCTATATCTTAAATTAATTTTTAATGTTAAATTATAATATTTTAAATAATTGTTTAATTACCTAAAATATTTTAAAATAGACTTATGAATTTTTTAAAAAACATAAATATTTATTTAACAAAATTTTAACTCACTGCTTAAGTATTTAAATAATATGATTTACTTAAATTATATTAAATATTTTGAATTGAATTTAAAATTTAAAAAAATTTAAAATATGCTATATAAATTAATTAAAATATTTGAAATACAATTTTGGATTTTAAAATAATTAATTTAATATTTTTATAAGATAATAGTTAAATATCAAATACTTGAAATTTAAAATCATTTAAGTTATATGAAATATTTTTAATTTTGAAATTAATTTTAAATTAAAATATAGAAAATTCAAAAAATTTTGATATAATATATTGACTTTTTTTTATGAAAATTGAATTTTTAATATT